AAAAACCTCACTGCCATTGAGTCAATTCCAACTCATAGCAACCCATAGGGTTTCCAAGGCTATAAATCTTTATGAAAGTAGATTGCCTCATTTTCTTCCAGTGGAGCAGCTGGCGGGTTTAAACCACCGACCTTCTAGCTAGCAGCCAAATGCCCTAGCCACCATACCACCATGGCTCCTTCACTTACAACCAGGATGTCTTAATTCTTAGCTAGGAGGTAGAGAGGGAAATCCATAGACAGTCATTGAGTAGGAATCCTTGTAATTTATACTATAATACTAAAAGAAGTTTCTGGACACTTACCAAGAAGTACTCAGTTTTGGCCTTTCTGTTTCACTGAATCCCTAGGGCTTTCCTGTTCTCTGCAATTTCTCTGTTCTCTGAATATATTCTCTTCTCTACGCCTATGCATGCAAGCAACTTTATAATTTTAAAATAAATAAATAATGAAACCATAGGTGTTTGAAAGTTTAAGTCAGGAAATATTTTATTAATCTCTAGAGGATGGTTTTAAATGGTGAGGAGCACACTTAAAACAGCAAATCTCTAAGGGAGAGCAAATGGCAATAGGCAAGGGTTGTTCTCAGCTTACACAAGGCATCTCAACAGAAATGAGGAAATCAGTGAGAAGTGTGAGCCTGCATATGGCAACATAAATGTCCAGATGGTGGTTGGGATGGAGTCAAGACACTTAGATATGCAACAGCACTTTAGGAGCACTTGTCAGGTTCAAGCATTAGGTGGGTAGTTGGATTCCATGAACATTGAAGCCTCTTCAACCTTTGCTTTTCTGACTGTAGATTCTTAATTAACTTTGGCACTGATTTATTCTTGAAAAAGCCACTTACAAAAGAACCACAAACTTCTACTAGCCAAAAGCACCAGTATACCAAATATGTCAAGCCATTGAGACATATAATTCAAATACCCAAAGAATTGAACAATAAACTCAGCTTTTCAAATACTACATAGATTCACTGAGTAATGAATAAATGAGATGAAATACGTAAAATCCCTTGTAAAAGTCTAGATATTGCTAAACACTGATATTGTCATTCTTTGAATACAAAATTATGTTATATAACTCTCCTCTTCTGGCTAATTAATGGATAGTCATTCTCTTTATCTATCCATCAAATAATCCTTAAACTTGTGAAAAGATGCTCAACTTCATTCATAAGAATAACATACATTAAATCTTCCCTGAGATACCATTTGTCATTTAACCAATTGATAATATCCAAATGCTTAATACATTTTGTTGGCAAAACTATAAGGAAACAGGCATTTTCTTACATTGTTAGTGGCAGTGTAAAACAGTACAATCCCTATGGAGGATAATTTGGCAATATCTATCAATATTTCAAACACATATGCCCTTTGACCTACCACTTCCACTTTGTGGAATTTGTCCTTGCATTTACATTTGCAAAGGAATACAATTGAAGGTTATTAATTGAAGCACTTTCAGTAATAGCAAAAGGCAAAAAACAACTACCAGTAGGGGACTGGTTAAGTAAATTAAATACTATATAGCTAGAGAGAGAGGAGGAAGCTCTCTATACAGAAAGTTCTCCAAGATGTATTAAGTGAAAAAGTGTGTACTTTTCCCTTACATGCATAATAATACAAACTCTGGAAGGATACACAGGAAACTAGTAATAATGGTTACATGTTTGAGGGACAGGGCGGACGGGACCTGGGCAGACGCAGAAAGTGTTGGGAGAGCACTTTTCACTATAAACCTGTTCGTATATTTCATAAACTTTCGGATCAAGTTTCCATACTGCCAATTCAAAACCTTAAACCAGAATTTTCAGGTTTTGAATATGTGTGTGTGTTTTCATCCAATAAACGCCTTATACACCTTCCGGTGTTGATAAAGTACTACAGCCTTAGTGGTCAAAAGCTCCAGTTCTGATGGGCAAATCCAGGTTCTCATCCTAGCCCTACCATTCTTCTAGTTGTGTTGCTTATTATGCAAATTACCTCTTCAGTCTCAGTTTCTCCATCTGCAAAATGGAAGGAAACCCAGTAATTCCTCCTTAGGGCTGTTATGAAGATTCAAATAAGAAACGTAAGCTGGCCGCTATAATGGTAAAATACTTATTAATAGTTATGACTAATGTGGCAGTTCAGGTTCCAAGGTTACTCCACTACCCGCAGATCAACAATACCTCAACAGGGCTCCAAATTCTCAACTCCAACCTGCCCCACTTTGAACACAAGCCACATTGCCAAGGCTCCAACCCATACACTTTCGACATTCTTTACTACCCGGATCCTTTTTACGACCTCGCAGGGCCTCAGGCCCTGAAACACCGCTCCTTGCCCTTCCCTAGCCCATTCCCACCGGTTCCCTTTCAGACTCCGCCCCCGCCTCCTCCCTAGACTCTGGCCTAATTCGTCGCCACTTGTTTCCCCGAAGCTGAAGGAAGCGCCTACCCAGATACTCGTAGTCCGGGAGGGCTAGGCGCTCCGGACTCAGCATCCTTTGGCCAAGACAGCTTCAGAACTCCAGCTCCTCAGCTTCCGGAACCTAGGTTGCGGTCTCCCTCAGTTGCCATGGCACCCACGCAGCGGGAGGAGAGATGGGAGGTGAAGATGTGTTACGCAAACAGTCTCCGTATCGCCCGGCCAAGCTGCGCACACAAGTTCCGGATGCAGGTCGTATTGTCTTGGTCGAGGTTTCTTTGGACTCCCATTTTTGAGACGTTGGTTCCGGAGGAATCTGTAGTGGGGAATCCATTTGAATCGTCATTATTCTCCCGGGTCTAAGAATTACGGTCAGCCTTCCATATCCACAACTGGAGTATCTCGTTAACTATTCCTTTTTCCAGCTGGTATGCTAACTCACAATTACAGTTCCCACCCCTCAACTCCCGTAAATATTATCTATTTTTATCTCTTTATTTATTAGGCGCCATGGTGGTGCAGTGGTTAAAGCGCTCAGGTGCTACAAAAGGTCCGTGATTTGAACCCACCAGCCGCTTGGCGAGAGAAAGATAAGGCAGTAGGCTTCTGTAAGGATTTACAGTCTTGTAAAACCTATGGTCGAATACTTCCGTAGTGATACCTCCTGGGAAACCCAAGAAGGGGTCGCTATGAGTCGGGCCGACTGGACAGCACATAACAACACACAACCTGTGGAGCAGTTCTACTCTGTCCTATAGGGTCACTACGAGTACGAATGGACTGGATGGCAGTGGATTTGGTTTGGGTGTTATTTATTATCTTACATTGTTACAAAGCTTTCATGAGTGTGTATCTTGGCTACTCCTTGAGGTCAAGGATGTGTCTTTTCTGTCTACTGCAGGGCAGAACACACAGAAAACCAAAACCAAACCAAACCCACAGCCATCGAGTTGATTCTGACTTACAGCGACCCTATAGGACAGAATAGATCTGCCCCATAAGGTTTTCAAGGCTGTAAATCTTTATGGAAGCCGACTGCCTCATCTGTCTCCCACCAAGCAGCTGGTGGATTTGAACCACTGACCTTTTGGTTGGCTGCCCAGTGCCTTAACACTGCACACCAGAGCTTCTTAACTACCCAGTAGGTGTTCAATAAATCTGTGATGAGCGAATTGAAATCTCTCAAATTCCTCTTTAGCTTTGGTTCCTCCTTCTACTCCCAACCTTTACTATTTGATACTGTTACCAAGAATATTTTCTTCTTACCTAGACACTAGACTTCTCGAAGGGAGGGGATGCAGAAGCAGAACATCTACTGGCTTTCCTCCCCATGCCACTAATTGGTTATTTCTCCATTCAGAGGGGAGAGTAGTCCTTGTTTTCCAATTCCCAGCTATTTCTCTTTTTTGCCTCTCTCCATTCCTTAGCAACAGGCCAGTAGCATTTGTCCAGTTCAAACCTAGTAGAAAAAGCCACTCTGTTCTCACTTTTTTAGCTAGTGGCAGTCATTTTAACCTGGCATCCCTGAAATAAGGTGAGGTTTTGTGAAGAAAATAAAAACATGTTATCAAAGGAATGGCTGGGAAAGCAGTAGACCACCTACACTGGGAGGAAAAGGAAAGAGGAGGTTCCTCTCTTTGTGTTTTGAGTGGTCTATTCTTAGACTCCTCCAGCAAGGAGCCTCAAACCTCCTAATTCTCCCTTTCCTTTCAAATTGTATGTGTCTCATTTCTAGGCTCCTCTGAGTCACTCGGAGTTTGAATGCGGTAAGAATAAAGGGACAGAGCCAGACTAGGAGCAATGGTTAGTATTTTGAGGTAATGAATTTACAAATTTGGTATTTGATGTGACATCTTGCAGATTTGAAAAAAACATTTGCCCTCTTCTTGCCCGGTCCTCCTAAATGCAGCTTTTTCTTGAAGGAATGGAAGTTTCATAAATTTCAAATTTGTGCCTTTTGCTTATATTGCTAATAAAATAATAGGATGTTGTTGTTATGTGCTGTGGAGTCGGGCCCGACTCATAGAGACCCTTCTTGGGTTGCCGAGGCAGTATCACTACGGAAGTAGATTGCCCAACCTTCCTTCCGAGGAGTGGCTGGTGGGTTTGAACCGCCAGCTTTCTGGTTAGCAGTCAGATGCCTTAGGCACTATGCTACCAGAGCTCCCCCTCCTTTCAGTTATTGTTGTTGTTTTGCCGTAGAGTCAGCCCCAACTCATAGCGACCCCTCCCTCCTTGGGTTTCCAAGGCAGTATCACTATGGAAGTAGGATTGCCCAACCTTCCTTCCGAGGAGTGGCTGGTGGGTTTGAACCTCCAGCTGTCTGGT